AGGAATGGGACACAGAAGAGATAGATTTCAATAGTGAGTGGTAGGGGAGACCTGGTTAGCATGGGGTATGGATAAAAGTTCTAGAAACTTGATGGAAATAGCCAAAGATAGGATAGGCACACCCTGAAATCAACTTTTGTCCACAATTTTGCAGATCCAATTCTGCCTAAACATAAGATCTAATTCATGCTAATTTTGGCAGATACCAATATCCTAGGATCAAAGTTTATCCCTGCAACATTGAGATTCTTCTGTCTCCCGAAATGAAAAATAAACACGCAAGAAGAACAATAAAATTAGAAAAAGCACTTAAGGGCATTTTAGCTAGTATGTATTCTTCATTATGAGTCACAAGGTTTATGTAAACCATTAAAATAAATTATTCTTCTCTGGATGCTTTAAGATGTTCAGTTCCATCTCAAGTTCAAAATATCCCCTTTCCAAAACAACGCATGGGTAAGACGTCCACAGCTCCTCCCGATCCATCCATATTCATTGGTGAAGGCCAGATCATAGTGAGAGCAAAGCAAAATGGCACAGAACGTATGTGGACCCCTGAAGGTGACGCTGACAGCAGAAGTCAGTGTCTCCATGGCTCAGTGAGCTTGTGATGTGTCCCAGTTCCCCAAGGACACTGGAAAAGGGACATAGAGGATCATGAAGAGCTCTCAAGACAGAGTGGACACCGTACTGTTGCCACCCCACCCCATACAAATGAATCAAAAATGAGTTTTCTGAAGAAAGGAAAAGCCGCATCCCCGCCTTGACAAGGCATCTGCTACACGTTCTTTTTAGCAGGGATGTGAGCAGCGGGAAGCCGACAACTGTTTCTGAAGGCTGTTTTCCAAATGTGTGAGGCTCTCCTGGAATTCTGACTGAATGTGCCCCATCTCTCCTAAGAATATGCTCTCTCAGCTCCAAAGTTTGACAAGATCAAATAACCAGAGCTATCTAAACATCCTTCACTGGATAACACCTTCCAAAACAGTTAACCATTGGAGCTTGTTTAGATTCCCCACCCCACACGCACGCTCAAAGCCAGGAAATTTCATCTTTCTCCTCAAGTCACCCCTCCTTGCCATCTAAATGCCACATTGACTTAGAGTCAACTTCTAGGTTTGAGATCGTTACCTTCTTCCTTAATCACCTAGCAAAGCAACCTCTCAGTGGTCAAGCTAAGTCCATTTAGTTTATGTCTAACTTGTGGGTCTTCTGGGTGGAAATTTGTTTTTAAAATAATTCTCATGCTTTAAGGACAATGGGTAACAATGAGAAAAACTAATGGGCATTCATAAGCTGTTATAAGACACAGTTCTTGTTTTATGCATTATTCATTTATGCAAACTGTTGTAAAGGTACCAAATTCACTGTGCAACGGGTCTAGAAAAGTCCCTGAACTCAAGATGACATTGTTATGCACATTTCTGAGACTTGGTTCTGTTTAACATTTTCATCAGTGACTGACTTAAAGGAGCAGAGAGCAAGCTCTTAAGTTCCTAGATGGAAGGGATGACCAGAACATGAGTGAACGGGATTAGAATTTCCCCGGCCCTTACCAAATTAGTAAAACTGTTAGAGTCAACCGTGTTCACCGGGAACAAGCAGAGAAAAGCAAGCTGAGTCGTAGAAAGTTATTTAGGAGAAGAACTGAAAAGAATATAGAAACAAAAGTAGACTTGTAGTGGGGAATGAATTAGCCCAGTGGAACCACTGTTGTTCATTGGGGCCACTGTATCCCTTTAAAATGGGTTCAGATCCCAAATCCGCAGATTATGGCAGCATGAAGATTTCTAAGAATGCCAGGGAGCTTTCCTTTCTCCTGGGTACCTCTAGCTTCAGTTCTTGGCTCCACTTAATTAGCCTGATTTTTGGTTCATTTCACTGTCCTGTTTTAGTCACCCTATTACAAACCATGTTGACCCAGACAGTAAAATCCATTTCCCTCCCAGGAGCAGATCACAGCCTCCGCAAAGGACCTTTCTATCTCTTTGGTTGTCTTGGCTCTTGTCCAACTCTTCTAATTAAACTTCTACCCCCAAGTAGCTTGACAAGGTATTTTCCTAAATATAGACAGTTCTCTCCCTATGAGGAACTCAAGGACCAGCTGTTAGGACAATTGCATTTATACCTGCGTCACCCAACAAAGTGAGCATGACAAAGTCATGAGCGGATAGTGTTATAGCTAGGGGTTGGCAAACTTTCTGTGAAGGGGTAGATAGTACATTTTTAGGCCAGGCACGGTGGCTCATGCCTGTAATTCACACGTTGAGAGGCCGAGTTGGGAGGATCACTTGAGCCAGGAGTTCTAGAATAACCTGGGCAACAAAGAAATACCCATCTTTACAAAAAATAGAAAACTTAGCTAGGTGTAGTGGCATGCATTTGTAGTCCCAGCTACTCAGGAAGCTGAGGCAGGAGGATTGCTTGAGCCTGGAGAGTTCAAGGCTGCAGTGAGCCATGATTGTGCCACAGCACTCTAGCCTTGGTGACGGAGTAAAACTCTGACACACACACACACACACACACAAAATACACACACACACACACACACACACACACACACACACACACACACACACATTTATTGCTCTCTGCTGCAATTACTCAGCTCTGTTTATGTGGCATGAAGGCATTCCTACACAATACATAACATGACATCGTTTGCCAATTCCTCCCAGACTCAACTTCAGAATCTTTGACTTTTGGGAAGTCTTAACAACCATCTTGTCCAGCCAGCTCATTTTATACCTGCAGAAACCCGGACTCAGAAAGTAGATGATGCTTGTGCAAGTTCACAAAACAGTTAAGCCTGGGTTAAGACTTCAAACTGGAAACAGGTAGCCCTGTTCCCAGTCAGTATCCTTTCTGCTGCATCATTACCAGGCTATTTCCAGAAGGTTCTGAGGAGCCCTGCTTGATTGGCAGAACCTCTTCTAGAAATTTTCCCACTGTAACTTTTGGTACAATGCACTAGTTGTATTATGTGTAGTACTTGGTAGTGTCACCTTGCAGCATCCCTAGGAAGACCCAAGATGAATGTGTGACAAAAGATTTGGGTGAAGCTGTCTTTACCCTCCAAGGAGCAGTCTTTGAGAAAATCAGAATAGAGCCCAGAATAGACTGAAACAGAAAGTTATAACAATTCAAAGAACATTGTTTTATTTGTTTAAATAAGCTAAAGGTGACATAAACTCATTATGTATCAAGAGCAATGTTTTAAGAGGGAGCAGTTTTGTTATCTCCTATTATTATTGTTACTAATTTTTGATTCAGGTCTCACTTTGTCACCCAGACTCGAGTGCAGTGACACCATCATGACCCACAGCAGCCTCGACCTCCTAGGCTCAGATCACCCTTCTACCTCAGCCTCCCAAGTAGCTGAGACTACAGTCATGCACCACCACACCTGGCTAAATTTTCTTTATTTTTTTGTAGAGATGAGATCTTGCTATGTTGCCCACCTGGGTCTTAAACTTGTAGACTCAAGTTATCTTCCCACCTCTGCCTCCCAAAGTGCTGGGATTACAGGCATGAGTCACTGTGTCCAACCTCAACTCCTATTAAACTAAAATGAACAGGACTGGGGTGTAGGTTACATCACAGGTAGAACCTGCTGGAGGTAACTCTTACTTCCAAGAACTGCAGGTTGGAGGGTGTTATAGAATGCCCTTAACAAGGCCTGGGCACAGTGGCTTACTCCTGTAATTCTAGCACATTGGGAGGCCAGGATAGATGATTCCCTGAGCCCAGGAGTTCAAGACCAGCCTGGGCAGCATGGCCAGACCTCGTCTCTACAATAAATCAAAAAATTAGCCAGGCAGGTGGTGCATGCCTCTAGTTCCAGCTACTTGGAAGGCTGAGGCGGAAGGATTGCCTGAGCCCAGCAGGTAAAGGCTGCGGTGGCCGTGATCATGCCACCGCACTCCAGTCTGGGCAACAGAGTGATACTCTGACTCAAAAAAAAAGGGGAAAAAATACCCTTAATAATCAGATCTGAGAGTTGCATCTTCTGGGAAATGTTAAGATGGAGAGAAATAGATGGAGAGGGTGACTCTCAACATCCTTCCTCTCCCTTTAAGTCCCCTGAAAGCTGCAGGAAAGAACCCTTCTTTGAGCTAACAGGGACACATTGCATCAGTACTCTTACTGAGAGCGGGACAGTTTCTTTTTTTTTCTTTTGAGTTGGAGTCTCACTCTATCGCCCAGACTGGAGTGCAGTGGCATGCTCACGGCCACCCCAGTATCGACCTGCTGGGCTCCAGCAATTCTTCCGCCTCAGCCTTCCAAGTAGCCAGAATTACAGGTGCGTGCTACCACTCCCAGATAGTTTTTTAAAAAATGTATTGTAGAGACAAGGTCTCACCAAGTTGCCTGGGCTGGTCTCGAACCCGTGGGCTCAGGCAATCCACTGGTCTCGGCTTCCCAAAGTGCTGGGATTACAGGCTGAGCCACCGAACCTGGCCAGGACAGTTTCTTTAGGAGGGCTGTGAAGTGCAGAACATGAAGTGAAGACTTGGGGAAAAATAATTGTCCAGATTTCAAAGGAGCCGCCCCAATGAGATGCACTTCCTTTGGCAAGCGTTTGTGGTAACTCAGGGAAAACCCACTGTTCTGGGTCATAAGCTTGTCACCTCTGCCAAGCATCTGAGTGTGGACATGCCTGATGCCTCTACCTCAGTCGAGGCCAGAAGGTTCTTAATGGGAACGGTCGTTGATCTGTGATTTGAAGACCCAGTAGCTTGGGCCTATTCCGCCTTGAATGTCAAGGCCAAGTATTTATGAGAACTCTTACTGTCTTTGATAAAGATAAATTCTAGTGTACGTCTTGTTACCAATTAGAAATGCTCCAAAATGTTCAAATATCATTTCTGGACAGTACATTTCATGAAAGGATCCCACAGGACTATTTGTCTCAAGTCACAACTTTTCCAAAGTCTGTTTTTCCAAATGACTTTTTTTCCTGGTGATGCTTCTATTTCATGATGATAATTTTTTTTCAGATGATCCGGGGACCTGCACGTCATGCGCCACAGGGTATTACATGTAAGTCTGCCCTTCCGTTTCACGGCACTAACTTTTCTGCAGTGTAAGCATTACTCACTTAATCTTCAACCCAGTGATTAAAGCAGAGCGGCCCTGCAGCCCGAAGCAACTCTGTCCTGTCAGGCTATTAACGAGCCATTCTTGGATTTAGCAATAAGAGCCCAGCTGTTTTCTTGCCTCGAAAGGAGGCCTTCTCTTGCTGGATCCTGGAAGTCATCCAGCCTGCCTGACACTGGTGTCTAGGAATCTCACCATGGGTTACCAAGATTCAGATCTTGCTGTGTATGGACAGACCTTAATAATATACCTGACTCCAAGTCAACCATTTGCAAATGTCTGCCTGGAGACCTTGTCCTTAGCTGGAGTCCGATGCTGCAGGGTGAAGCCAGGTGCTACATTAGCTCTTACTCATCCCTAGACAGTGAGAGACATGGATCACTAAGGTAAATGAAACACAGACAGCCATCACCCCCAACATTCTGTAATAAAAATCTGCAGAAGCAAAGATGGCACGTTTCAGCATCACCTCCCCTTTTTATCCTAGTCTCCCTTCTGGCATACATGGTTGTCGGTGACCAGCACTGACCAAGGGTGGGTTAGGACCCGCACCAGAGAATCTGGACAGCGAGAAGAAACTACTCGGAGGCAGTTCTTCTGGGAACAGTCTGATCAGGACTGGAGCCGATTTTATTCAAACCTTTTCCAACTTATATACCATTTTCTATACCCTCCAGCAGTGTGATAATTATTTACTAGGGGCGTACAAATTCCATGATATATATTGCGGTTTACAAATTATGCATCACAAGAGCATCACGAGACTTGCAAGTTCCAAGCAGACAATTCAAACTCCATGATGCCTGACGTGCTTCACAAAACTCACATCA